CTCTATCTCTCGATTAGAATCCGCGCTTCAATCTTTTAGGAAATTCTCACGGATTCGAAATTGATTTATAATCCATTGTCGTTAATCTATTTCTTGCATCTTCCTAAATCGTGGCACGGACTAAAATCGCGATAGAAGGATATTGAATTAATAATTATAAGAAATAATGTAAAACCTTCGAAAAATCAAACATGTTATAATTAAGCGGGATATATTTAGTTGAAAAATAAATTTGGAAATTCAGTTTTTATTAAAATTCACAAAAAATTATGTATTTATTTAAATAGCTTTTTAATCTTTGTTCTAGACTGAAAGAAGTCCAGAGCATGATATGATTCCATGTGAATATTTTTATTAACCTTTATCGTACCAGCTACAATTTCATGTCTCATCCATACAAACAGGGGGAACAGAATCCATCCGTTTTTTTTACCTATTTAGAATGATGCAAAAAAATCTCTAAAAATTCCAACATACTTTCAATCTTCTCGAATAAATATTGACACTTCATTTTGGAAAATAATAAAATGTAATATAATTTATAATTACCGAAAGACTCAAAGAAACTTGCACGAACAGAAATCGCTCGGAATATCACTAGTGACCCCCTCTTGTACAGTAAGGGTTAAGATTAAATAATAATTTTTTTCATACACATTTCCGAAATACGTTTCATGTACTTGAATTTTCAAGAAAGTCTTTACATACATCAAAAATCTGAGATATCTAAAGAATATCCGAAGGCCGTTGAAAAGATTAGATCGTCTTTAGACATCCTTCGAACTTTTCATTATCGGGATATCCTAATTGTACCTTCTAGCGCGCATGTCAATCTTTTCGTACATATTTAAAAGGAAGCAAAGTCAAAACTGGATAATGGGTTAGGGCGACGCGACGGTGAGATAGTTACCTATGGTGTCGAGGATAGTCACGCCATACGCGATCGGCCGCGTGAGCGAATTGCCGAGGCACGCGCCGCTTCGAAGTACGTAATTATCATAGGGAGGTTGCCCTCAGACACATACACACGCGTAGGGGGTCGAGGGGTCGGTCGGCTCGGGTCAGGAAGTCACGCGAGGCGCACAGGGCGCACTGGGGAGCGGAAGGACAGCAACGTCGACGGAGGTAGGAGGAGAAAGAGAGAGTGCTTTTATTGTTCTACGAGTCGTCTTAAAGTCGCTTTTCCTGGCCAGTGGGCAGACCCGTTGAAACTCTCGGCTGGTGGTCGATAACGCGACGTGATGTTTCTCGACGGACGCGCCAGCGCGCCTCGACAATTCTCCAATCGACCCGCTGAGGTTTATATTATTTTCGCGATGTAAGGGTATAAACCATCGCGCAATGGGAGCAGCACTCGGATCAATCCTTGCTTATATCGATGAATTTGACCGAAGCGCTTTTCCTCTTCCGTTTATATTATAAAGAAGAATATGAAGAAGAGGGAAAAGTACAATCATACAAAGCTCTTCATCAAGCTTTAATAGTTCTCGTTTGGTAGGAAATTATAGATACGTAGCTGGTTACATTTCATCCAGACAGAGACAATTTTATTCCATATAATAGAATATGTTATTAAATTTTTATAAAATTCAAGATTTAATTGTAGAAGATTGTACGCGAAGCTAGTCTCTTTTAATCTTTTCTAAAATGAAAGAAAAATTGTTTAAATCAAATTGATCTGATATACGTACTTAATGCCTTCCATAACTGGGGGTAACATAAATCAAATATGATACATTTGTGCTGTTTTTCGAGAGTAATAAATCCAATTGGGAAATCTGTCCAAGAACTATAAAATTTTGGACTGCTAACACTGACAGCGCCACAGACAATTAAGCTTCAAGCACTTCACGCGAGGAAACTTTTTTGACCACTTTGACTTTAGATTGGATCGCGTGGAACAGTACAACGTTTTAGTGCGCATTTCGGTACGGAAAGGTTACATGAGCATGACCTGCTTCAGGACATGAAATAACTTTGGGCTACCAAACACGCGAGCAACATTAATGAGCATACTCGAATTACTCGGTTTACAGATATATCTCTAATGTGTTAATTCACGGGTGTCAGTTCATCATTGTCCTCGCATGACGTTACGGAACATCGCTAGTAAAGTCAGGAAGTAATTTGCATTAAAACGCGTCGCTTACAAAGCAATTCGTTGAATTTTTTTCGCGTACGTGATACAGTTTCTTTGGTATTTTAAAATTTATCAACTTAAATTCTTATTTTTGTTTAAATGAATTATTATTATATAAATATATATATAAAATTCCCTTAAACAAAAACAAGAGTTTAAGTTTATAAATTTTAAAATGCTAAAGAAACTGTATCAATATTATGACACTCTCGTCGAAATATTATTAACACAAAGGTAGATACAATTCGAGAGATAAAATTTATGTAATACTGATATATATTGTATGACATGTAGAAATTAGAATTTAAGCCATTTAAAGTTATTTTAACTGAAATATTATATCATTTATTTAAATGTTCACATTGCCATTGCATTTAAGTGACAAGTACCATCGTCTTTTATGTTAGTATTATCGATATAATAATGTTTTCCAGAGTCGAGTACACTTTTAAGTACTTTACGCTCGTCATTTATGCTTTATGGATAGGCGTTACAATCTCTTAAGCCTCTTCAACTAGTGTTATCCTTTACACGATAATTATCTAACGAATCTCAAAAGTAGCGATAATCTGAAGTCGAGTCGCTATGCGAGGAGACAAGCTTGTAATTTCAATTTCACGCGGTCCGGAAGACCACAAAGTGCCCTCGGGTCAACACACGTCACGTAATTTCATGAATCTCGACGATGACGACGATGTCGTTCCCTTTCGCGCTGATGCGCAAAGTGCAAACCGAGTCAAAGGCGACCCTGCGCCTGTCAAGATCAGAGAACGGTGTGCTGAAGCACACTATTCGAAAATGCCCTCGAGTCCACATCGTGCTCGTAAAGCGACTTGTGTGTGCGTCATCGCGAGAAATACCTGAAAATTAAACTTCCAGTGCAATGCGAAAAAGGGATCCAAAGTCTGCCTTCCGAGAAATCTCTAACAAGAATCTAATTAATAGAATCCTATTAATTAGCACAATTCTAATTATTTGAAGAGATCTCTTCAAATAATTTATTCGAATTTTTATAAAGTGCCTCAAAATAAAGTCCAAAGAGCAAAATTTTGTTCTGCGCTATTCTCTTATACAATTACAATAATATCGGTAAAAAATTTACGGTAAATTGAAGCTAATTTATGAATAAGAAATAATAAGCGACACGAGTCCGTCATTTTTATTTGTATAGAACTATAATTTTCGATTTTACATGGCAATCTTAGGACATTATTTTTGCACACTATTCTTAACTCAAAATTATAGTGCAAAATTGTACGTAGTCTGCTGTATATTCGTCATATCATACATTGTGTTAAATTACGTTTAAAGCCTCGGTGCTAAGGTGTGACATGGGAAACTGCGCGAGTCCTGAATACAAAGACGAAGTGGACACTGATGGCGCCAACGGGTTCACGCGCGTTTAAAGGCAAGACTTTTACATTCTCTCGCCCCACGGAGGTGATCTCGAACAGCGCCCGGGCTGTTGTAACCTGGTTGGTGGCGGCCAGAAGCCGTTTATAACAAAGATGCCTGCGGGCAGGTCTCTGTGATCTCTGCGAGATGATTGTGCCAGGCGTTGGTGTTGGCGTCCACACAGGGTGGGGCCTGCTCTTCGGCGTTACCACTGTGCGGGCAGGCGTCTCTACACAGCCCCCGGGGCTTGCTCTCTGCCACCCTTCCTCACCCTCTCTCTCCTCCGTTCGCTCGCTCGCTCGCTCTCCGTCGACGACAAAGGGGCCGCGGTTCAACGCGCCACAAAGCACCCGGGACGCCACCTACACTCACACCAACACCTACATTCTCGCATCCTCTATGCGTCTGCACGCACAAAGCTTGCTCGAACAAGCCGGAGCGTCGCGACGCGTGAACTTGCATCCAGCGGCGCCGCGACCCACCCTTTAGGTATACGTAGCGTCTAGCGAACCGAAAACGAAAAAAAAGAAAACCTTCCCTCTCAGATAGAGGGAATTTTGCGAGGACAATGAGACAAGAAGGGGGCGTCGCAAAATTTTAGAAAACCACCTCGGTGTTTGACATTGATACGGAAATCGAAGAAATATGAAAGAGTCCAGTTGTTGATTGTCAGTGGTGATTAGGGCTGGAATAGGGCTACATAATCTAATTGTGAGTTCTAGCTATATACAAGCTATTATACAATCAAAGCTAATGCTTTGGCTTTCGGAAAGAACGTTTTGCTAAAGTATACAAAAATTAGATCAAATATATAGATCTGAAAATAATTAACCAAAATAATTAGAATGCATAGACATCGACAACAAAAAGTGACATTTTAGCAATTAATTTGAGCATTCAATTATTTAGAACATAATAGGCATACATAATTATTATGTATTTTCTATATCTAGATAAATTTTTAGATATTTCAGCAAAATTTTTTTATATTAATATGAGAAATACATATGTATGTATATGTATACATATAAATTATATCCATGTTGATGTATTTGTATGAATGGGAAAATTTTGTCTTTGTGATTTGTTTCAAAAAATGATGTAAAAAGCACAATGATATGATAAATAGTTTTTGCTTAGTATTAATAATATCAAGGTGTTTTCTATTGGGTCATTTAAAAAGTATCCGCGGTTTTTTCATTCAAAAATTGAACAAAAAACCGCGGATACTTTTTAAATGATCTAATATAATTGCAAATAGTAAGAGGTGGAATATTATATTTTCAAGATTGTATAATTATATTTCTTTTAGTATGTATTCTATAAATTAATGAATTGAATCTAAATCTACTATCTGAATTAAACTTGCTAAATACAATTATGTATATAAATACAATTTTGTCTTTATATATTCTCCTCTTAATATTGCTAAACACCTTCGTAAATGAACTCAAGTGAGACTCACCCTGACCAGGTGCCGGCGACGTGGCGTGGCTCCAACCTCCCTTATAAGAGCTGCTTGCATCTGAAAGTAGGGGAAATATTTTTCAATCATTTCTTTCTATTTGCAGTGCAAAGTTCTCGATTTGCTTCGACGCGCGTTGGAAATCTACGGCTTATCGATCCACGCAGATATTTCGTGATTTAGCGGGATTGTGATTACATTTTTTGAGGTCACGTCAGTAGCGCGGGCGAATATATCGTCCGCAATTACCAGTTAATCGGTTCGAGGAATCACGAGAAGCCGTAAAGTATATCTGATTGAAAGTGCTCCGAGCTATCGTGGCGGCTTCGACAGGGAAAATCGCGATTTCTTCTGCTTCGCGAAATCTTTACGATATTTTAATGGCTCTGATCGTTCCTGCGTGAGAGTGATGTAAAATGTACACGAGAGAATGTATACATATGCGTTGCATAAGCATATATCGTCTTTGAAATTGATTCTCGATACGTAAATTTATATAATAAAGAAGAATATAGCTGAGCTATTTACACTTAAAGTTGCAGACGTTGAAAAATTTGTGACTACATTAAAATTTTAACTGTTTCATTCATTTATAAAATACATATGTTATGTGGACAAAACGATTTTGCTGAAATATTTACAAATTTAGATAGATACAGATTTGAAAATAATTTTATTGAATCATCAAAATAATTACGTAGAAAATTCATGCATAATAAGTAATGCTGCAAAAAGTTTTTACATTATAGCAACCATTTTGAATCTCTCACACAATTATTATGATGATTCAACAAAATTATTTTTAGATCTGTGTCTTGCTAAGTTTTTAGATATTTTAGCAAAGTCTTTTGTGTAGAAAAAGATGAGAAGATATACAAATTGTATCAATCATAAAACCCAATTAGAAGAGCTACTTGTTTTTATGTCATAATAATTTTGTTACAAGGATCAAAGATGAAACAATTTTAACGAGTTAAATTATTTATAAGAAATATTTAAAATACATGTAACTAATATACAATATAAGAAAAACATAGAAAATAAATATTACTTTTCAACATTATCATGTCTAATCTTTTAAACACAAATCTCAGTATATACATGAAAAGAATGGTTTTGCTGACGTATCTAAAAATTTAGTTAGATACAAATCTAAAAATAATTTCGTTCGAACCATCAAAATAATTATGTAGGCCACTTAAACTGGTTGCTAGAATGTTAAAATTTTTCGCATCAACATTTTATCATTTTACATAATTATTTTAATGGTTCAATGAAATTATTTGCAAACTATTGTATATCTATCTAAATTTTTAGATGCTTCAGCATCTAAACTATTCTTTTTGTGTATGATAAAATTAAATCAGCATTTTCTAATTAGCAATCACTCAAAAAAGTGATCTTGCAATTATAGCAAAAATTATCTAAGTACGAAAAATTAACTAAAATAGATACATTTCTAGCAAGTATTGCGATATTGGATATGTATTGCATCTAATTATATAGATGACAAAGATAGAATTTAGATTTGTGCCATAAATTCTATGCATTCTATGATACATAATTTTCTATCCGATACAAAAAAACAAAATATTTTTTTGCATGATATTTTTTACATAAGCCATTTTTTGTTATTACACATTCTTCCAATCATTTCATATTAATCTTGCAATTATAACAACTTACTTCTTTTATTTCTTAAAAATGTTTTTGTTTAAATTTCCTTTTTTCTGGATCTACTTGATCAACGATCGCCGATCTAACGGTTTGCTTAGTCGAATAATATCCGAGCAGAAAAGGCGTTCGTTGAACAAATATGGAATTATTTGTAACACGTGCGCTTAGTTGTTACTCGCGACAGCGACGGCGATGTTCTTATTATATAAGAGTTCTCTCGAGAGCTCCCGGCGCCGAGCGAGCGTACGCGTCACCGTCGCCGTCGGTGGCATGTTTGCGAACAGATATATTTTCATTTCGCAGTTATTGGCACAAAGGGTCGGCCCTCGTGTGTACATACGTAGGTACGTCACACACCGCGCGGCAGAAACTCCGACTTTCCGAGCAAACAAAACGAGCTACCCGCGCGCTCACTACGGCTCGATCTTTCGTCTTTACTGCCCCCTTCATTTGATCTGGAGACCCCGGAGTCCATTAATGGATCCTCGGATTTCACGTTTCTCAAGTGCTAAGGGGTGCGCCAATCGTTTGATAATACGCGCCGGATTTTCTTGGGGTTTCTTGCGAAACTGTGTTGCAAGATTACGAACTCTACATCGTAAAATCCTTATGAATCCTCTTCCTTTCTCAAGAGGAATATAGACAGCTTAAAAAGCAAAAATTCCGACGGATTACCGAATCCTTGAATACGACCAATACTATTTGTAATAAACATTTTGACAGAGTAATTATAACGTTGCATATACAATAAATTAAGATACAGCTTTTATTAATTATATTATTCATTATTATTTATTATTAATTATATTATTTATTAGGACAATATTATATAATATGACACATGTTTTATTCAAAAATTTATTTACAGTTTTATTGTGGAATTTATCACTTTTTATTTTAAGTTTCCCAAATTTTCTGTTAATGTATTTATTGCAAATAGCATTAATATAATATTAGGTGTTGGAATTAATTCGTAGCGTTTTTTAATGAAAGAATGTTATTTATTTCACATGAGCATTAAAAAATACATTAATGAAAGTACTTCCCATCACTTAAAAAACGCTACGAATTAATTCCAACACCTAATAAATAAGCTCAATAAAACTCAATAGCAAAAGTAAAATACATATTTTCGTTTTTTTTTGTACTTCATGGATTCCGAATCAGTTTTCGACAGGGACTGATAACATATGATTCAAAGATAACAAAAATTTGATAAAGATAAATAAAAAAAAATATAAATTTAATTTCGAATTATCAATACGTCGAAAGTGAAATTATACATAAGCTAACAATAAGATGCTGATCTTACAAGATCAATGTAGTTTGTTTAGTTTAATTAATAAGTTTGCTTTTTTCTGTCACTTTTACGAGCCATGTGGTCACTACAATCACTTCTGCATTATCATAATTATCAACATCTATAGCTTAATGTTTTAATAAAATAATAAAATAATGAACTGCTCTATCTCTAAAGAATTCAATACAAATATTCTAGATAATGAGAGAAACAACAATAGTTTTGTGAGACGATGAAATAGAAATTTCAGAAAGACTTACAATGAATATTGAATTTTTTAATTATTTCTTGGCAATATAGTAACAATTTCGTTCAGAACACTTAATATTCTATTTTAATAAGATTAAATGCTACATTTATCGCGAATAAATGTGTTTAAAAATATATGCATTTTCTATCGAACACGAAACACGCAAAAAATTACGTGCTATCAGATCTTTACTCCTATGTCTGGTCCCATTAGATTTGTATCTGCTTCTAAAAATATATTCACTTATTTTATATATTTTATTTAAAGTAATAAAATAACATATAAATATTCACAAAAACATGCACGATATTTTACGCATAAAAAGACAAATGTTTACGATATATTAAGTATAAAATCGCAAGCTCTTATTTTCATTGTAGCACGAAAAGATTTTGAAAGGCACTCGCGCGTGGGACACAGGGGGCAGCTCGCGACGGACACGGCGTTTCGAGGACGGAATTTGGAGGCAGGTGGACACGTGCGTTATCGTGCGTGGTAGGTACCGAAAGCGTGGGAGCGCGATTTATCACCACACTATCGAACATCTGGCACGCTCAAATGCGCGATTCCGCGCGCACAGACGCGTGGATGGGACACATAGTGGGACGTCGAACATACCGGCGAACAGCATCGATAGATTGGTGAACGCCGTGGTGCGTGGTAGCTCCGCCGCGGTGGTACCGCTGCTCTTGAGGTCCAGCATCGCGCGATGCGGTATACCCGCGCCACGACGCGCGCTTTTCAGCTGCTTTCCCCTGCGGTACTGCGGGTGTTTTTACGCGAGCCAACTGCCGCTCTTATCGCGGCACCGACGACTTGCAGATTAGCTGCTGCGGCACGAGGCGCGACGACGACGAGGTCAGAAACGTGGTCATATCAGCAATGATGTCTCAGCGAATAACGTCTCACCCTCGAACGACGGCGAGGTGGATAGCGCCGCGTGTTATTACTCTCGTTTCACCGATGGTCGTCGTCTGCACGAGCGTACTGTACGTGGATTGCGCGCCAATAAGGGCGCCGATCATCTTGCCGACCCGTTCCGAGCGACACTGCCGGCTCGCGCGAAACGGACGACGACGTCGCCGGGGGCAGACAGGACGCGCCCGATCGACGAGGGCCAGCGGGCGAGGTCTCCGCCCCCGAAGGGCGCCGAGGTCGCATAGGGGTTGGTTGCGAGCCGAGGTACGAGGGCCGGGCCTGCGGGGGTGATCAACACCCCCGCGAACGAAAGGGCGGAAGCGCGCCTGCGTGGCGCGCAACAGGCGGGGAGGGAG